CGCTTCAGACGTCGGAGCAAGAAAGGCCTAAGAACCTTGTGCAGACGACGAATAACGAGCAACTGCTCTTCTTCGGTGAGCTCCATCTTGTCTTGACCTCCGGTGTTCGCAAATGGTGTGTTGAACCACTCATCGAACGAGGTAGCCGACTTGAAGATGGTAGGGAGAACGAAGTTGAGCATAGCCCAAAGTTCCGTCAGGTTGTTCTGCAGGGGCGTACCTGTCAGAATGAGTCGATACCGTGTTGAGTAGTATTGTGTGATGGTCATGCTGAGCTTGGAACCCGCGTTCTTCATACGGTGACCTTCGTCGACAATCATGTGAACCCACTTGATCTTGCTGAGAATCGGCCTGTCCTTAATGATAAACTCGTACGTGGTGAGCAGGACCTGGAACTGACCCCAACGAATCTGTTGCTGGTACTGCTTACGCGCGTTCGGAGGACCCTTGTACACGATCTTGCTAACGCTTGGCGCCCACTTCTCAAACTCGTTGGTCCAGTTGGTAAGCGTACTCAAGGGGACAATAACTAGGTAAGGTCCAGGTTGTCGCTTCTTCTCGATCAGGTATGTGATCAAACTGATTGTCTGAATGGTTTTTCCGAGACCCATTTCGTCTGCAAGAATACCGTTCAAGTTGTTGTTGTACAGGGATATCATCCACTGCAGACCCTTGAGTTGGTATTCCTTGAGTGTACCTCCGACCAGGTTGGTGGCCTGTTCAGTGACCTCCTCCTTGATGCGGTGAGCAATCTCATAGTAATCGGTCTTTCTCTTGCCCGGTCGGTCTTCGTCGTCGGACTCGTCACTGCTACTCTCCTCCTCAGGCTCGTATGAGTTGTTTGCAGATCGCTGCTGCGCCTTGACGGAGTTGGCAAGCTGCTTCAAGAATCCATCGGTCTGCTTGAGAAGGTGCGAAATACGAGTATCCTTGGCTTGGCCCAAGAGCTTGAGGTAAGTCTCTTCGTCGTTGGACTTGAGCGCCTGCAGACGCTGCTTGGCTGTTCGCTCGATACGCTTCTGTTCTTCCTTCTCGATGTTCTGGTGGGTCGAAACCATGGTACGGCCGAGCTTCTGCAGACGCATTCTTTGAGCCGCGCCAGATTCTTGTAGTTCGGTGCGATGCTTCCGGATGGCATCGATGAACTCGTGGTGCTTCTTCTTTTCCTTGGTCTCGCGTGCATCGCGTTGCTGCTTCTCGAGTTTCTCGGTGAGACGGGCTTCGCGCATCGATTGCTTCTTGAGACGGCGGTAGACGGTTCGATTGGCAGTCATGGCAAGATTGTCAGCGTGAATCATTTGCTGGGCAATTTCTCTCCGCAGTTTCCGTTGCTTCTCAAGCAGATTCAGCTTCTTCTGCTCAATAACAAGAGCCAACTTGACTTTTCCGTCATCTTCGGGAGTGTCGGTCTTGCTGGTATCCCATGAGCCGATGTTTGCATGCATCTTCTCCAGCTCTGCTTTTCTCGCGGTGAGGCGGTTGTAGAGAAGGATCTCGCGCTCCTTGCGCAATTCTTCCATGCTCTGCTGTACGGCATTGATGTCAACACCTTGTGGCATGATTGTCGCGAGGTAAGGTCGGTTCTTGCGCTGTGTGTGGGAGATGTAGTTTACATCTCGGAAGACTTCACTACTCCAGGGATCGATGAAAGTATCCGGAAGACGAGGCAGGGTACGAGTCTCTTGCACAGCACCACCCACAGCACTTGAGGTGCTGCCGGCGCGAGTCGCATTGTCGAGCATCTGGGAAGCAGCTGCCACAGCCTCAGCCGCATTCTGGGGTTTCTTTGTCTGGTGGTGGCCAAAGATTTGTTGCTGCATGTTTGAAGGCAGAGGAAGACCCTTGGAGAGGTGTTTGAAGGCTCCAATCTGGGCACGTAGCATCAGAAGCTGGTCTTTGGACAGTGCCATCGAAGCATTGCTGGCCGATGTGGGCGTCTGTCCATCGACTGAAGGGGCCTGTCCTCCAGCAGTTGCAATCGGCATTGTAGACGTTGGTCCGGTCGAGGCTGGCGCAGATACGGCAGGTTTGCCATCAACAGGCGCAACTGGCTTTGCACCATTGAGCATGCCTGTGGCAGCGCCGTTTTGTAGCACAGCCTGTGGATCTACCTGGCCTTGCTGACGCTGCTGCATCTGCTGTTGTCGGAGCATCTTCTGTTGCTGTTGATACTGGTTCTGCTTCTGAACCATTGTGAGGAGGTTGCGCGCCTTGATGAACTCGGGATTGGACTCGGAGACGCCTTGTTGCTTCATCGCAGTATAGCGCTAGAGACGGTGTTAACAAAGCCGACATGGGCGTGAGAGTGAGTGTGAGAGTGTGATGGATAGTGGCAGTGGAGCTGTCGCGGGCGAAGTACGTACCTGGAAGACATGCTGAATCTGCTCGCGAGTGATGTTTGCCGGGAGCTGGCCCTGGCCGGGCATCTCAGGGTTGGTCTGGACTGAAGCCATGGTGGGCTACGGTCACGGTGTTTGTGCAAATGCGCAGTCGAGGGTTGATGACAAGATGTCAAGTCTGAGACGCGGTCGCCGCACGTGGTCTGGGCGCCGGAGCTCGCGCAAGTATGAGGGAACGACAGTCGAGGGGTGTGTTGTGGCGCGTGTAGCGGTGTTCTATGACATTATCGGGGGGAGTGGTGGTGGCAGAAGCCCTTTTGAGGATGAGGCCGATGAGAGACTCTCGGGAGTCCGCCCGTCGCAGAGTCGCGTCGTTCCAGGAGGCTGAAGCGGAGCGCGCAATTTGCGAGTGGCGGGTGGCAGGGGCGCGGGCGCACTCAAAAAGGGCCAGAGACCGCAGTACGCGTCAGGAACAGCGTGTTGCGGGGATGGAGAGATGCGGGCGCAAGTCTTGGTGATATCGGGATGGGTGGTGAACGTCTGCGAGGTCTCTCTAGCCTGAGCGTTTGTCCGCGCGCAAAGGGAGTTAGCGGCTTGGCAGGGTCATGTGATGAGGATGCGAGTGGGTATGGCGGCCGTAGGGCAGTGGTGTCGTCGCTGCGACTCTTCGAGTTGATCTCAGTCGCCCTGTTCACGCTCACGCTCACTGCACGTCGGGATTGTGGGGTTGAAGACAAACAACGCGCTTGACGTGGGCTAGTGCCGAAATGAGCCACCGCTTCGGAGGCGCAAGGAACGAGTGGAGTGCCACGTCCACGACCCCTCCAAACTTGCTACCACGGCCCAGCCAAACATCAAACTCGTCGTTCCACGCTCCGCTGATCTGGTGGTAGGAGCATATCTATTCACAGGGGCCCTTGCACGCGTCCTGCGCGCCCTCGTCCTCTATTGCGCTCCTCGTAGTCACTTCACCGGCCAGATGAGCCTTGGTGGTGAGATCTCAAAATCTGCCCTGCGCGACAGCGTCACAGACCGTGTGCATCACTGTCCATTGCTTCATCGAAACACATTGCCTGAGCACACAGAAACACAGCTTTTGGTTTTTTTGATACCCTTTTGCTCCTCTGTCGTCAGGTGGCGTTTGCCAAGAAATGCTGCTTATCCCACGCTCCCGATATTGCAGCTGACCAAGCTCTCGGCACCCAGTGTTTGGCTGTGGGAAGAGTGTTGTTAACTTTGCGAAAATGGCCATTGAATTTGATTTGTTCTACATGAATACATTCGTATCCCCAGCACTGGCCATCTGAGCTCCCATCCCATGCATCCTAAGTAAGCGTAGGTGCGGTCCAGTCGATGTACGTCGCAACATCGGCACCGGACGGGCCCTTTTCGATATTAGTATTAGCACTCTGGTTTAACAGAAATTTGTTTATAAAGGCAGTCAGGTCAGCCTGCTGGTTGGACGGAAACTGGCAGTGGTTGTGATTGCCAGAGCCTGTGAAACCCATGTTGTCCGGTACACCAAGAGCCCTGTAGATGAGGCGACCAGCCTTCATGCAAGCCGTTGTCGCAACTGGGCCCAGCCAATCGATTTCGTTCTCTATAACAAGCAGGCCGCGAGGAGCAACCATACCTGCAAGCTGATGGTGGTCGGTAGCGAGTGTGTTGGACCGTGTGCTAAATGCATTGAATCTGGGAGAAAACCAAACATTCTCGGTAACAATCTGACTAGAAGTCTGGATGTTCTTGCCCTTGGCTTTCTCCGAGTCAGAAATGCGCCAACAGGCAGCACCGCCAGATCCTGATTCTTGAGGTAGGCCGAGAGCGATACGGTCAACAAGGGCGGCGGCGACAAATGCACCCTTGCCATTTCGGGAGCATCCAGTAACCCCGACGCGCTTAGGGTCAATGCCGGCGCCAGGAGTCGCCTCAAGAGCATCTATGATACGATCGATACCCCACGCCCAGGCAGTAAGAGCACCTGCGCTGTGGCTGGAGCCGTATAGATCATAAAACTTGCCTTTTCCACGACTGCTTTGGCTCTGCTGTTGAGCGATCTCATCGTTGTTGAAGGTGATGGTAGCAACCTGGCTGGGGATGGGGATACTGGGAGCGCCATAGGCGATAATCGCAGGGAAGGGACCATTGCCACTGGGTTTCTTGATGGAGACAGAGAACGAGACAGATTTTCCGCCCTCACTTGAAGTGATAGAGAGGGATGATCCCGAGAAGCTAGCAGTGACAGTTGAAGGCTTCTTGGGAAAATCACCAAGCTCCTGGTTCTGCAAGGCAGCGCTAACCTCTTTATTCTTACAGGCAAAGTCTTCTTTGGTGACCACAGATCTTCCATCGAAGAACTTGAAAGGATTCGGTAGTTTGGAGTTGGCGGTGCTAGGAAAAGTCGATGGGACGGCGCATGCTGCCTCTTGGCGTTGCTCAAGCAGAGGCGTCGCAAGAACAGCACTAGAAAGGAGCGAGAAGGCGATTGAATACTTCATACTGAATTGAGGAGGGTGCGCAAGATATGTTTGTTCTGAACGCGGGCCTTTTCGAGAGCCTCTGTCTATTATATATTGGCTATCCGCTCCACAAACACTCCACATATCCACGGGAAGTTGGTAATCTTAAATGAAGCTATAGAAATGAGCAGGTCATACAGGGTTAATACGATGTAATTAAGGGTACGCATCTCGTTAAATGTCCGTGGTGATCCTCACTGTTACAACAAATGCGGAATCGGGGTAGGTGGCATGGGGGGAAGCCTGGGTGCGAGTCGTGCAAGACCCTGTCTTCTGAATGATGGGAAAACCAATAACGCCCTCTAAATTTGGCGTCTTCCATTGGTATGTAGAAGCTCCTTTGAGCCGCGAGGGGGCGGACTCGCACTTTAGCATTCTTGGCTAACAGTTTTCCCGAAAGGGAGGTGTCTCCATTTGACATGTTTTCGGATGTGAGAGTCGAAGACCAATGTAGGCAGCATGCAGTTTGCATAATGCCCTTCCAGGGTCTAGAAATGGGGTACCGCCATAGGATGATGCTTCATTGGGTGTAGGAGGTAACAACCACTCTACCAACCCTGGCTCGCCCTGGAGAGATGATGGATATTATGACGCCGGCTCTCCATGGCCTTGTGGGGTGCGGTGGGGCATTTGTCAAAGTGCCGTTTAGCCTGTCCGTCACCTTGCGATTCTTCCGGCAGTATACGATGAGTCTTCTGAATCCTCTCTTGAAACTTCTGATGTTGTTCTGAGGACGCTCAGAGATGGGCCAGGTCAAAATTAGTACATATGTATATCGTATGTTGCATGGTGCCTCGTTTCAATCTTGCTAGGATCTGATGCAGCGTTGTTAGTGCATACAATATCAAAAATGTGTCGGGCATGGACATGTGGAAATACTGTTGGTGGATTTATAAATGCTCGTTCGCTGGTACGAAAAGTGTTGAGCGCAGATAATGTCGAAGGAGGATGGAAGGAGCGAAAGGTGAGAGATAGCCAGTCCGTCCCGCTTACCAATTCTAGTGCTAGTGGTGTGCTGGACTTCGGCACCCCTCTCACGTTCAATCGGATGTCTCAGGCCGGTCCATTGAGACCCGTAGACGAACAAGTGAAGCTTAGTTATAAGATAAAGCCCTGTATTCTCACGGGAAACTTCTCAGAAAAGCTATCATCGATTCGCCTAGTCAGTATTGAGGGGAAAGAGAAGGAAGTACACGGTATACTCTGACTGGATACATCGAAACCTGGCTTACCAAGCTGCCCCGCCCTCATTAGTAGCCGGCAGCCACCGTTCTCTGTATATATCTACATCTACTGGCGAAGTGGTGTTTTCCCCACTCGACAGAACAAATTCAAAGTCAGCCAAAATGACGGGCGAGCGACAAGCAGCAGACGCTATTCGATTTTATGACTCGAGATCATGGGATTACGACGCGACATGGCATAACGACTTTACCAAACGGTTCATATCCTATCTGGACATACAACCTGGGCAGCATGTACTGGACCTGGCATGCGGAACTGGACTCCTTACTTTTCGCGAAGCAGAGGCTGTGGGCCCACAAGGTCACGTTGTAGGAGTCGATGTCACGCCTAGTATGCTTGCGGTCGCCACGCATCGAAAGACGCAAGGAGGGGATAAATATGCAAATACTACCTTTCTCAAGGGCGACGTGTTACACTTGGAGGAGACGGAAGAATTAAAGGGGAAACAGTTTGATGTCATCACGGTGGCTTCTGCGCTTGTCCTGTTTCCTGACCCCAAAGCTGCTATGGAGCACTGGTCGGAGTTTCTGAAGCCTGGGGGCGTCATGGCAGTGGATGCGACGCATCCGAGGAATTTAGTGTCAGGCATGGTTCTCGAGAGGGTGGCGCGCAGACTGCAGTTGCCGATCCCATATAACCGCTCGTGGAGCAAATCAGAGGACACTCTAAGAAAGACAATGGAGTCAGCTGGCTTAGAGGTGGAGCAGGTGTTTACAGTCGAGAACCAAGCCGGGTATGGCCGACGCTCGTATGAAATGGAGCAATGGGACGACTTTTTTGTCGAAAACGTAATTGTCAAGGATGTTGCCAGGACGTTTGCGAACAACGACATCAGGAGAAAAGCACAAGGGATTTACAAAGAAGAGTGGGAGAAGCTGGCGATAGACGGCAAGGTCGAAGAGGTGGACTCGGTGTTTCTGGGTATAGCGCGGAGACGTAAGTAAAACCCATGCAGCTGCACTTGAGCCAATGGCGAACTGACGCGACACTGAAGCTGCCGACGGATCTCGATATGTCGCACAAACAATTAAAGACGACGTCGTCTTCAGAGGCGGGTGCCGGTGCGGTGGGGTACAATATACATCGAGCGCTGCGCCTTCAGACATCACCGTATGCCACTGCCGAGCGTGCCAGCAACTGTCAGGCTCTGGATATCTCGCGTTTACACATGTACCGTTGAAAGAGGTCAGGTTCAATCAAGCGAGCACACGCACGAGTCTTCGACTTTCTAGCGTTGCCGAACGAACCTTTTGCTCGGGGTGTGGGGCACCGATATCCATGACATATCCTTCAGACCCTGAAGGGCTCGGTCTGTGCATGGCCACGGTCGATCTGGAAAGCCTAAAGACGGAGACGACGCCAAAGGTGATCGAGCACATCTTCCTGCGGGAGAAGGCACCGTGGGTAGTGCTGCCAGAAGACGGGGCCGAGCGTTGGGGCACTTCAGAAGTAGCACATTATCTGAGCCAGCAGTCGTAGAGCCGCGTGTGTGTGTACATGTTGCACACACAACTAGCTAGCGAGGCAGATGGCGGTAAGGGAGAAGACGGGGAGGGGAATGGTGGAGTAGCTGCGCCAAGCGGGACTGGATGGATCCACGATGAACCCCTACTGCGGTGCAGCTGGGGAGGGTACACATGTTGAGCAGCCGGAATGCAAAAGAAGTTGTTTTGGTGTCTGCGCGAGGATGCTACAGGCCGGGTCTGAGGGGGTCAGCAGCTGCTGTCACAGACATGTTTCCCTGGAGGAGAATGTTTCCAAACACCGGCGGCGTGTCATTGGCCCGCGACGCGTTGGAACCGAACGGCGGGCCAAGGCAGATGGTGACAAAGACGGCCTGGAGGGAACCGCAGAGTTTGAAGGCGGCTGCAGCGTGACTGGAGCGGTGCCGTGCATCCAGGACGCGCGATTGGTGCGAGGCGTGTATCGCAGGTGGGTAAGCCTTGTATACGTGTTGCGGTGTGCGAGCATGACGGGGCGGGCTAGCCGTCCCAGCCTCACAAAATGCGACTCCCGGCCACCTTAGTTTTCCTGCCCCTCGAAACATTTGTCCGCTGCACAAAATCCTCGCCTGCTTTCTTTTCCAACCCCCGAATCCCAATTCCCTCTGCTTTTGGTGCGACTGTGTCTGTAGCGACCCGTCGCCGCTGTCCTGCACCAGCTGTTGAGCCCTTGTACCCCACCCACCACCGTCCCTCATTGCTCCTTCGTCGGCCCTATCCGCCGCCCATCGCTCGGGCTGCCCGCTGCCCTCACGCCCTCACGCCCGTCCCCTTAGGCGACGAGTCGAGGCAGTGTTTCACAGCAGCACGCGTACAGCCCACGCTGCCGATCCGGACCATCTGCCGTCGTTGCAAATCTCCCTTTCCCCAAACAACTAGTCGCTCCAGTGGGCCGCCGATATGAGCCGCAACTCATCGCATGACCGGGACCTGCAACAGCCCTCTCACCCTCCGTATGCTGCTCAGGGCCCGCAACGCGCTGCTATACAAGTGCAGCCCTACCATTCTCGCAAGCACTCGGCTCCCCTGCCTGAGCATGACGCTCGCGCTTTTGACGACGTCGACATTACTGGACTTCAGCCACCCCCCTCTGCTCTAACACCCACTTCCCCCACCGCCTACGACCCGCATGCGCCCTGCCCGCTCGACGACTTCCCCAGGTCAGGCCGTAGCAGTCACCAGCGCACGCTGACCGGCACCGTATTCGAAAACCTCAACCGCGCCGCTACTACAATCCAGCAACATACCTCGCGCGCCTCTTCGCCCTCAAAGTCCCTTGCCAGTTTTATGCCCTCGAGAGGAACCGTTGAATCCAGCGCCAGCCAGCCCAAGATCAGGGCTATCCAGAATTGGTTCAGTGGCTCTTCACCCTCTAGCAAGGCCAGCACCTCGCAGCACGACGATTACTCAGACTCGGAGTCGGCATCAGGAGAAGAGTACGACTCGGAATCAGAGTCAGAGTCAGAAGTGGAAGAAGTGAGGGGCAACATGATGGCCAATATCTTTACCCGTGGTTCATCCCTCACGAGGGGCCCTTCCGAGAGTCCCCAACCCACTAGCGCTGTGCCGGCGCAGACCAAGGCACCAAGCCAGCCGACCGCCAGCAGCAAGTTTGCCTGGTTGCTCAAGACACAAAAGAACGCCGCAGTCCCTCCCCCACAGCCGTCACCCACATACCACAACCCCGACGATGAGCTGCTGAATCTCAACGTCTCGCAAGCTCTCTTCCCCCACGGCCCCGCCGACCCACTCGCTGCATCATCCTTCCACGACCTCCTCACTAACGCCGAAGCGCTGCTCTCACGCTACCAAACTGCCTACCGCAAACTCTCTACTGCTCTGGTAGACGCGCACTCGGAGCAGAGCGCGCAGGAAGACGAGCTCGATGAGGCCGAGACACGTGCCCGCCACCTCAAGATGCAACTTGAGACCATGGCAAGGCGAGCCGACGAGCAGGACGAGCAGATGCGATCGCTCATGGAAGACCTTGCGTTTGAGCGAAGAGCAAGGCAAGAAGAGGAGGCGGCCCGCAAGAGGAATTTGGCGCTCATCAGGGGTTCGGCCCAGTGTGAACATGCTTCGTGCCAAGACACTGCTGTCAGACGGCACAACCGCATTTCTGGGTCCGGACTCAGCGTCGATTCCGGTTTCGAGTCGGAGACAGAAAACGATGGAGCAAGTATCACGTCGGGAAACTGCTTGAGCCCAACTGCCACTGATCGTTCCTCCATGCTCGACAATGACTCTCACGTCAACACAAACAAGGGCAAGAAGCCCGCGTCGCTTCAACAGAAAACCACGCAAGAAAAGATTGACATCAACCGGGGAGGATGGGGATGCGCAAATTGTGAAGGTGGCGCACAATCCTCTGTATGGGGCCGTTTGGCCAAGGAGCGAGAAGAGAACCGCACGCTAAGACTTCGAGTCGAGACGCTCGAGGAGGCTGTTGACGGTGCCCTAAACGCTGTCACTGGCGCTTGGGGAATGTAAATAGTGTGTGTCTAGTACAATTTTGTGGAAAGGCACTGGCGTACGGCGAACTGTGCTTTTACTTGCCGTATTTGGCTTTGTTCTTCGCTTCACAATATTTATGCACTTGAGCTTTAGATGGAACGGAATACCACTTTTTGCACAGCATTGCTGTGTTGCGAGCATGTATGTATGTAGGTATATGTACTTTAGGGTTTTGTTGTGGTGAAATACATTTTACTTCACAGGTAATGTGGTAGACCGAGGGTGATGTCAGGTTGCACAAAATAGTTCACACGCGAGTACTTTGGATATTTTCCAGTCACCTGTATAGCAGCATAGAGTGATTGTTTGTATTCATTCATCCCTTTATCCATTACATTCATTCCTCGTACACATTCCTCAACCGTTATCTCATCGCAGCAATGCTAGAACAGGAGGAAACCGAATTATTTCATCATATTACATTATACTCTCAAAGCTTACCCTCACAGCAATCCTTGGTTACCAGAACCGAGGAGGCATTCTTCGTGTTGGGCACATCAATCGCAGGATTGCGGTCGAAAAAGTCGCTTGGCTTGTAGTGAATCTGGTATATCTCGACGGGCATAACGGGCCAATCTTCGACACTGCTCACTTGTTAGCACTTTTCTCCTTTCTTTTTTTTTTTTAAAAAAAAAACGGCCGAACCAACAGATTTACAACATCTGATGGGCAAGCAAAAGGAAAAGGAATACATACCGAGGGTTATGCGTCAAACCAAAAACATTCCAAAGCACCAAGTCCTCTTCGGCAACATCGTCCTTGCGAGCAGCCATGTCGTGCACACCGCCCACATCGAGCTGACTCTGCATGGTAAAGGGACCAGCGGCAAACAGCTCGTCATCGCGGTACTTGGTAACCCACAAGTGGTGTTGGGTAAACAGCGCGCGGTTGGATTGAATGCTACCGGGAGCGGCGAGCAGCTTCTGTGTTGGCAGCGGCGCGAACTTGTAACCAACATTGTTTCCAGACTTGGGGTTCTTCTTGTACGGGTTAATAACCTTGAAGACACGGTTGTCGGCAGTGTTTGCGTCGAGACCCGTTGACTTGTCGACAATGGTCTTGCGGATCTCGTACCAGTTGCCGTTGGGGTTTGTTTCCTTGTTCCAGGGGGCAGTGTGGGATTCCTCGTAGACGAGGGTGTTCTTGTGGCCGTCGATGGCTGGGTCGACGCGGACGGCGAAGATGTGCTGGTGGTTTTGGGCGAGGACGCCGTTGGCGACGACGTTGCCGTAGTTGGAGGTCTTACCGGGGTCGATGTTGACGACGGAGACGATACCCGTGGCACGGGTCTCGATGGTGATGCCACCGGCGTTGTCGAGCTTGTAGGCAAAGATGTATTCGTAGTTGGCGAGGGTGATGATGAATTGGACGACAAGCTCGCGCTTGCGGGTTACGACGGCGCGGCCAGTTCGCCAGTTGGTGTGCTTCCAGCCGATACCGTCGTCTTGCTCGTGCAGGCAGATGACGTTGGGGTGATCGACAGGCTCGCCCTCCTTGTTGATGCTAGTGGCGTCAAAGTACTTGATGACACCCAGGCAGTCGCAGCCGAGAGAGAGATTGTTGGCGCAGTTTCCGGCACCTCCGTCACCAAAGTCAAAGGCTTGCTTGCGGTGGTAGCCTGGACGAGCATCGGCATAGGGCACAGTCATCTCGCTGATGCTCATGCGGTACATGACGCTCCGTCCATCGTAGTGGACGTCATGCAGAACTGCTCCTTCACGGGGGTTGAAGGATACCCTGAAGCGCCATTTTTGCCATTCAACGAGTGATTCATCGGTAACTCTGAATGAAGGTCCGTCGGGTTGAATGATGTTGATGGGCTTGACGTCCTGTCGGAGTCCACCAGAAACCATCTCGGGGACATACTCGCCCGGCTCGCAGTGGTCAAGGACACGAGGAGAGCATGTCTTAGCCGTCAGGCCATCTTCCTTTCCACCCGTAGCTAATCGGTCGACACGGACAATCTTCTTTGTTGCCGCGTCCATGATGGGGACCAGGGGCACTGGGTATGAGTAGAAGTTGGAGTCTGGGTTTCCGTTCCTCAGGTCCTGGGCGAAGCAGAGACCTTGGAAGTATCGGGTGCGCTCGAACTCTGGGTCAACTGGACCGTGTGGCCTAGAGCAATTACTATGTATTCGAAGAGAAGGGTAAAGTATTCTTACCATGGCTCAACAACCAATTCAAATCCTTCAGGTAGTTGGAACTCGGCCACAGCCTTCTGGAACATGTCGCTCTCTTTGCATGCTTCAACGAGATCAGCGAATTCCCACAAGCACAGGCTGGCCTGTATATCCTTTGGAAAGGCCTGGTGGCGGATTCTCTTCTTTTGCTCAACATCAACGACCGACTCGTTATACTGCGGGATCTTATCAGACCCAATCACATCGTACTGAACCTTTGCCAATCGTGGTGGTCGCTTGGTGGCCGCAGAATGACCTGGCTGGGCAGCATGTTCAAGTTCAAGAAATTGCTTCATTGCCTCTTTGTTTGGTTCTTGGATGAAGATTTCTCGAAAGTGGATAAGGGTGTCTTTGTAGAGTGAGCGGATGACATCGCGAGCGATGCGTATCTCATCTGGAGAGATACTCTTGAAAGGGTGAGGCGCCATGATAGTTGACGATCTATGTAGTTACGAAAAAGCAATTGGTCTACCTTGACAATGCAAGAGGAGGTAGAGGAAAGATGGTAGATGAGAAATAAGAAATCCACCCAGCACACAGGCTGTCCTTCCCTTTTATCATCGCATGTTCCAATCTATACATGGATCATACATTCCGCGATTTTCGACCACGACAGGTGGGGTCTCGATTAGTACTATCCGCTATCGTTGGTTAGGAGCAATCGGGTGGACCTCCTGCAAGCAGTCTAGTGCGTGGGCTATCCAAAGCATGCCACAGCAACGCTCGGCTCGGCAACTTTTTTTATGCAAATAGAAGTGTTATCATTTGCCTAACAATGGATCTAGACGTCTGTCAAGCTCGCTGATTTATAAGTTGGTTGCGATATGCCAATGTGCGGGGAGAGAGCGTATGTTTCGAGGGACGGAAGTATACCGCGGTGGGACCCGCACCTTGGTTCCCCTGCAGCGCGAACAGCGGTACATCGCCGCTTCCGGCATTTCAACACATGAGAAATCCTTACATCGACAAGGGTCTCATTCAAACGACAGCCGCGTCGGGTGACTTCACCTTGAATTCGGACCGTCGATTCCTTACCGCCTGTCTCTTGTTTGACATTAAACGCTTATCATGTGACTCGTTGGAGCGACAAAAAAGATAGTGTAATACTGGCTAGATGCGCCATTCCCAGCATCAGTGGACTCGGCAAATGATGACTACACGAGTCCTCTTGGGAATGGTTTCGTGGCAGCACATGTTGCATGCACGCATTGGGTGTTTTAGTGTAGAGAAGGAAGAGCGAGGCTACGGTTGTTTGCACATGTTGTGTCTGCGTTGTACAGCTCACCGCATTGAGCCACGATAGAGCTACTAACGCTGATCCGGTGAAATACAAGAGTCGAGGTTGGTAAGGCTTGGGTGCTTTGTCCATCCCCGCAATCTGATCCATTCTGTGACCACGTTGCTTACTAGCCCGTACAAGCGGCCCTGCAATAGTTCTTAGTGCGCGATGGTAGTCTGGGCTCGAGAGACTGTCTCCCCATTGAGCCTTGCCGTTTACAGCCAGACCGAGGTTGATTCAACGCGAAATAGTTATTGTGAGAAATATAAGGTATACAGCTCTTCAGACTTTCATCAAAAGAAGTACCAGCTTCTATCACCTTGACATCTCTAGCATCGGTGGTTTAGTGGTAAAATTAGCCGTTGCCATCCATCTGTAGTCCAGATCCGAAGACGTCGGCTAGCCCCGGGTTCGATTCCCGGCCGATGCAAGGTTTTCTTTTTTTCTTTTTAAACTCGAACCTGGTGCTTGGGTTCTTGGTATCAGTATCATTTTGCTTTTTCGTTAGTTCGCGCTGTTGGGGTTGGGTCTCTTTTTGCGCACTGCGCGAAGTTGAGGATGGAGGCAGTTGCTGGCAGTAGCAACAGCGACAGTAGTGCGTTTTTCTGTCCGTGTTGGCATTACTTCTCTTGCCACGTGGGTGTCTTTGCGCAAGTCTTGTGGACAACTGCTTTGGAAGGTTTGTGGCGGTGCGCCTTTTGCCTCTGCTTCTTGGTGCGGCTGCGCCACAGACACCGCCACAAACAGGCCTAGTCCCGCCATTTCTTGGTAGGTACGCGCCGACACGGACGCTATGACTGCTGGCTCACAATGCGCTGGCTGACGACAACTTGGAAGACAGAGTGGGCCTGTCTGTCGTCACACACGCTCCACTTGACATTTCACAGCCATGCGCTGCCCTTGATGCTTCCTGATGCGATGTGGCTGTGAATTTATGGACGCGCCGTGATGGACGCGCCGAAGCTCCCTACCTTTTAGAAATCTACAGCTTTTGGTTGCCAATGCAACTTCCAACATTCAACATTCCTAGATACGGAACCGCATTTCTACATCAACATGTTTACCGGAGTGACGCCGGAGTCACTCATTCCTCGCTCAGATTCACGAAATCCAGCGACCACGTGCAAAGGCCTTACACAATCCGGGCGACCATGCAAACGGCCTATTGACGCGAAGGAGCCTGAAGGCGATGGTGTTCTCGCCGTGACGTCTGTTGCTGGCGATGACAGCGGGGAGGAGATTGGCGCAGCGGCGTACTTTTGCTGGCAGCACAAAGACCAGGCCGAGACGTTGGCCGCGAAAGAGTCGACAGGACCAGAGACGCAATTGTACCCGCTGAAAGAGAGGAGTAGCATTGATACACTGGTGCAACGGCTGGGTGTTCTGGACATCGAGGAGCCGAATGAAGCTGCTCCACGCAAGAGGAGAAGCAGTGGCCATAGAAGAAGATCTGGGTCTCGACCACCCAGACGAATCAACCGGCCACCGACGTGGGATGCTGTCCAGGGTCCATTGATGTCTATACCCAGCGACGTAATGGCAGACAGGAAACGAAGAGACCGGCCATCGAAATCAGCGCCACCAGTAGTGAAAAAGCTAGGCTTCTGGGCATCGCTGTGCTGTGGATCTGCAGATGAGGAAGTTACGGAACCCACACGGCACAAGAAGAAGACAGAGCACCAGCCGCCAGCCGGATTGAATCCAACCCAGACAGAAACACCCATGCAAGATATCCCACAACCACAATCACAACCACCACAACCACCGCGTGCACAAGGCCAATCTCGAAAAAGCAGCAGCCAACACTCGCGCCCTTCGAGCTCTCGCAAGCCCCTCAGTGAAAAGCCGGCCCGACCGGTCAACAAGTCCAACAACGCCAGCTCCGACTCGGAAACCGCCACGCTCCTGCGCTACATCCCCACCTCTGTCCCCCCGAAACTGGCCTCAACCCTGTTAGCGGAACTCTCCAAGCCCATCTCCCCCCACGACGAGGAAGGCTTCATCTACATCTTCTGGCTGACGCCCGAGGCTGCGGGCCCAGCACCCGCATCCGCAGCCAGTAATTTGCTGGCGCCACGGGGCGAGGGGTCGAGGCGACGGACGTCGGATGTCATGAGGCAGTATTCTGTCAAAGAGAAGAAGGGCGAGAAAGCGGGGGGGGACAAGGGAGGCAAAGAGACGATTCTCCTCAAGATAGGCAGGGCGAATAACGTGCATCGGCGGATGAATGAGTGGACGAGACAATGCGGGTATAGTCTTTCGCTTGTGCGGTACTATCCGCATGTTTCGTCTGCGACGCCATCGCCTGCGGGGTCGAGGCAGGCGTCGCATCAGGGGCGGGGGTCAACGGGTGGTGGTGGTGGTGGTGCTAGTGGTGGAGGGTTGCAAGCTGGGGGTGATGGGGCGGCGGCGGGAGTGCGCAAGGTACCACATGCGCATCGGGTGGAGCGCATGATTCATTTGGAATTGGGGGAGCAGCGCGTGATTAAGCAGTGTGAGGCCTGTGGGAAGAGCCACAAGGAGTGGTTTGAGGTCGAGGCTACGAGGGAGGGGATTAAGAAGGTGGACGAGGTTGTGAAGAGGTGGGTTGAGTGGGCGGAGAAGAGGAATGAATGATGTGATAGTTGGATGTATTTGGGTAGCTGGCATATCAACATACGACCATCATCATCAAAGATTCACGCACCAGAAGACTAAAGCATCCACATCCTCGCCGTGGTGTTTCCTTTTTTTTTTTTTTTTTTCAAAAACAGTGTAATTTCATTTGGGGAATTGGGGTATCTTGTGTAGCTATAGTAGCAAGTAGGTAACAAACAATCAAAACGCTCATGTTCTTGGGACTTTCCGATACAGGTGGTTCGCAAGGTTTGCTTTGAGGGAAAGGTTGCCCGACATGGCGGACACTGTACAGTGGAGCTTTTGGGAGTGGTGGCGGCGGCGGCGAAAGGGGGAAAGGAAAGGGAGGGTTCGCAAAAAGAAAAAAAATAAAACGCCGCGGCCCATCTCTAATACGGCCGGTATATGGAATCGAGGGCTTTTCCCATCTCTTTTATGTCGCAGTGAGCGACAAAATATTACATCCTACTCGTGTTGAACTTGGTCTTGCCCGGTTGATGGAGCAAGGTGATACATATATACAGTTGCGCTTCCTTTGATTTTTTTCTTTTCACCGCCAGATAGTTTCGAGGTTAGAAGAGGCCGATGCGGGGCCGCCAGTCGTTTTCAGCAGACTTTGGGTTGACGACAATCTGGTAGGGGAAGGGGTTGGCGTCGGTAGTGGTGATAGGAGGAATGTGGTCTTTGTCGCGGTTGACGATGGCGATGATCTTGTGCGCGGCTTTTTCCAGCGACTTTGTCATTGCGCGACGGACCTTGAGGGCGTCTGTCAAGTGGATTAGTGGGTTGGCAGGAGTCGGAGGGTTGGTTGGGCTGCTACGTACCAGTCTCGGTCCGGGGCTGGGCGAGAGTCACGTCAAGCGTCCACTGCTCCCAGCAAACGTCTTCGTCTGCCTTTCCGAAAAAGTACGTCTTTCTCCGCTTCTTCTCGAAGAACTGGACGACAATCTGACCTCGTCCGCGTGGCTGGTGGGTGCTGTCTATGGAGCGCACGAGCGCAAACGTCTTCTGCTCAATAAGGGTTTCAAGGTCGACATCGTCGATGGCGGGTAGCGTCAGGTCGAGCAGGTCGCGTGTCAGGGGCGATATCGAGGTAAAGTACCGGTGAAAGAAAATCGTGTGCAGGATTGCTGTCGGCCGGTCAGGACAGGCTCACGGGAGAGGGCGGGTGGCCGGGCCAGAAGGCGAAGAAAAACAAAGGGCGGAGCAGACTTACCCTTGACGACATCCTTGACAAAGGCAGCATCTGCGAAGATGTCGAGGTTGTACTCGGGCCGCCGTCTTTGTTCCATGGTGGCAGCAGCAAAGTGCGTCGAGGCCGAGCTGGAGACAGGGAGCGCGGGAGAGCGCCACACGGCGGTTGGTTGGGGGCGAGTCGCCGGGGGAAGGGTGCGAACGGGGGCAGCGAGGGCTGGCGGGGATGCGAGGCGGACGGGGATGGTGGCCGTTGCAGTCGCAGCAGCGCGGGTGTCTGGGGTCGAGCGGCGGCGTCGAGGGAGTCGAGAGTGGTGGAGTGGCAGAGGGCGTGGTTGGGACGGGTGTGGAGGTGAAGTTTCGGGCTTGTGCGGGGCAGTCGCGGATGAAGACGACGGAAAACCAACAGGCGCGGGCAGCGCCGTGGGTGAGATCATCAGCACGGCTATGTGTGGACGGATCGTCTGCAGCCCAGCCCAACGCAGCACAGTGGCATCAGCCCGCAGCCGCCTGGCCAGCTATTTGTAGCCTCTTGTCTCCTCCTGTCTCCTCCTGTCTCGCCCGCTGCGTGACGCGACACCAGAGCACCGCGCCGAGACAGGCGTCCTTGGATGCTGCACATGAATCTGTCATCTGCCCGCCTGCCTGGACCGCCCCGGCCGACGCTTGCTTGCTTGCACACGGCCCGCCCAACGCGCTGCGGCGAGTCTGGACGGCCCAGTCGCCGCATACCAGCGCAGAGGGGATGCATGCAGCTCTGGCCAACCGTTTCCTTGCCGTGTCCTGACATGCATATGTGCAGTACAAACACACACAGGCAGAGTGCATGGCGATGAATGCACCGCCCGTCCCGTGACGTCGGCCCTGCCCATCGCAGCCGCGCCATCGTCACATGTCAATGGGCCGTCTGCAGCCCTGCCAGGAGCACGCCTGCACGCTGCTGAGCACACCGTGTGCAGCGACACGCGCAAGCTGCACCCTCCCCGGGCGACGTCAGATGGCTGCTCGACTGCATTGGCCCGTCGCTCCCAGCGAAGGGGTAGCATCCGCCCTCATGGATGCCCGTCCTCGCCCGTGGCACACGGTGCTCGCGCCCTCTGGTCCCCGCACGCTGGTAGGCGTTTGAGCCTCCGCCGCGCGCCAAGCATCGCTGTCGCGTAAGTCGCGTCACCATCAACCCATCTCGCCAAACCATTTCATCGCACCCCAGACATGGTTGGCACAAAGAGAAGACGCGACGCCGACGAGAACGACGACGGCACCCCGCAAAAGCTGCGCGCCCGCATAGCCGACGATGTCGCAGACGACCAGCATCCCCTCGACGCCCATACGCCCTCGAGAAAGGGGAGGACATACCTGGCTGAGCATGGCACCCCTCGATCCATCTTGAAAAAGGCCGGCTTCCCCAATGCAGTCGCTGCCACCCCAAAGTCGGCGCGGAAACTGGTCTTTGAAACCCCGACAAAGTCTGCCAAACGTGATTCCCCAGAGGGCACCCCGACCCTCGTCCGCAATGCCGATCGAAGTGCACGTCGGAAGAGCAACAGGCGCATGCTCGAGCGGACGTTGAATGGCATAGACAGCGACGAGGACGTTGTTGACGACGAGGATGAACTCGCCCAGCAAATTCTCGACGAGCCTGCCGACGAGGTAGAACAGTCTACCGAGGAGGCGCCCCCAGAAGAAGTCCCTGTGCCCGACACTCCCTCGAAGCGTGGAAGGGGTCGGCCAAAGGGATCAGGCAAAGCAGGCCGCCCGCGAAAGCAACACTCGCCCACCCCGCCCACCGAATTGCCTCCGCACGAGGAGTACTTTTGGCAGAACCGCCCTGCAGGCACAAAGACGTCCAACAACACTCTCTCCGCACAAAGTCTCCTCAGCCACGACGAGTACTTTCAGTCAATACAAGCATACCAGGACCCTCATCAGTCGGAAATAGACTTTTTGCTCCAACTGCATGGCCGCGCGTACGACCAGTGGATATTCGAACTCGAACAGGGCTTCAACATCTGCCTCTACGGCTATGGCTCCAAGCGCATCATTACAGAACGATTCACGGCCCACCTCTACCACACCCTCCTCGAGCGCGTGCCTTATAGGGGAACCAAGAAGACGCCCAAGATAGTAGTTATAAACGGTTATGCTGCTGGCACTACAATCAAGGAACTCCTGACGACGGTCGCATCGGCTGTTGTGCCAGCGAATTTGAAGCTGCCTAATCAGCCCACGGTGCTGCTCGATGCCATCTTGGACCATCTTACCAACAACCCACCATCCCATCCAGTACCCGTCGTCTTGAACTCCATCGACTCGCCCTACCTTCGGAAAACCCCACTGCCGTCCATGCTCGCCCGACTAGCCAGCCACCCTTCTGTTAATCTCATATGTACAGCGGACACACCAAACTTTTCTCTGCTGTGGGATGTTGGTCTCAAAACACAATACAAGTTTCTGTTCCACGACGCAACTACCTTTGCACCCTACGACGCAGAGATGGACACTGTCGAGACTGTCAACGAGCTTCTTGGGCGCAGCGGCAGGCGAGTGGGCGGCAGAGACGGTGTGGGCTTCGTCTTGCGCTCCCTACCGGAACAAGCGCGAGAACTGTTCCGCATCTTGGTCATGGAGCAACTCGCTTTATCCATGATGGAAGGCATGGACCTAGACGAAGACGACGACGTCACTGCCACATCAAAGCCAAAGGGCGCACAAGCAAAGAACGCCCTGCCAGAATCTACACAGGGCGTGGAATACCGCGTCCTGTACCACAAGGCTGTCGAGGCTTTTGTATGCACCAGTGAAGTTAGTTTTAGAACCTTGCTCAAAGAGTTTCACGATCATCAGATGATTGAAAGTCGGAAAGATGGCATGGGCACAGAGCGGCTGTGGGTGCCATTTAGACAAGAAGAGTTGGAAGGTCTCGCCGAAGACCTCGCTGGGGAGGCGTTTTGATTGATGCTCTACACGATTTTAATTCGACTAGTTACACATTTTTTTTTGGATAACATTGGTCTCGATGCTCCACTGTGAAGGCGTGCGTGTTGGACGTTGATTTTGGCTCACGAACCACTTTCAAAGCATGTCTTTTGGTTGGCCAGATACAAGGTGGAATGTTGGACCCATGAGCATCTCTCGACACGAACTGTACTAACCCCTTGCAGCTGTTGCATCTGCCGATGGTGGGGTCCTTTGGCACCCACTTGACCCTTGTCTGGTTCCGACCTTGTGGCGCGACCCCACCTTTACTATCAGTTTTCTCAAGCCCCACTAGTCCACTTACCTACTTGCAAAATGTCTTGAAATATATTTTCCAAATTTCAAAACTTCCATCAATCAGCAATCAACAGCGCGGTGTTCAACCTCCAGCTCATTCGAGCAGGCAGCTACAATACTCGTTCCTTCCCCGGAAGGTGAAAAGGTCGCTTAGCTCAGTTGGTTAGAGCGTGGTGCTAATAAATCCAGGCTAGGAGCCCTGCTCCTACAAAGGATCTCAGTTAACGCCAAGGTCGCGAGTTCGACCCTCGTAGTGACCATTCTTTTTGCGGATGGAAGGGTCAGAGAGAGAGAAGAATAGCCTGTTTTTTTTGTTAAAGGGGGGTTCTATAAAATGCTAATGGAGTGGGTTTGACCCTCAGTGACTGTTTACAAATCCATGTAAGCCTTCTCTGGCCTAGGAAAGTCAACCAGCACTTGTAGATTCTTTCCTGCAAGTACACACATCTACAATTCAATTCAATCACTAATAATCTATTACTTCAGCTTCCACACACTAATCATGTCCTCACCACGGCTCTGCTCAAACGACTCAGGCGGGCTCCAGTATACAACTCTTTCGAAGCTGCCCTGGTCTTTCCCACCACCAACAAGTTTCCCAGACTCATCCATCATGCCATCTCCACCATCAGCCAGCAGATTCCAGTGCACGCCATTGAGACCCCAGGGCGGACCCTGTGCTTTGAGCGGCTTCCACATAGGAAACTCGAGACACACAAGCACGCCCGTCGGCGCCAAAAGACTCTTGATCCGCTCAGCCCAGTCTTTGCGCATCTCTGGCAGCAAAGCACAGAGAAACTAGCATCATTAGCGTGTGTCCTTGCAACCCTCATCACGCGACATACATACCGTGTAGTCATAGATGAGATCGAAACCCTGAAAGTCCGGCCCAAACTTGTCCTCGTACCCGTTTTGGAAAAAATCCCCGAGAACCACTTCTGCAGTACCAGAGCAAGTAGAACCCTTCAGCTGACCTTTGATATTTTCATTCGCGGTATCGACTGCTGTTTGCGAGACCTCCAGGCCCCATACCTGATAGCCGTAGCGTGCTAGCAGAGCAACATCATGGCCTTTACCGCAGCCCTATGGGAATTGAGTCACTCCTGCTCAAGTCGTCTGTCTCGACGAGGGTATTCTACATACAGGGACAAAAGCCTTGAGTGGTCGTTTCTCCCCCTCTCGGAACAGCGTCTCACGGTACGGATGCGTCTCTAGGAACGACTGTAATGCAGGCGAAGGTCTACCGCGATCCCATAGGTGCGCTTCGTCTTTTTCCCAGAGTTTGGTCCACCCGTCGCTTTGCGCATCGCGGGTCCTGGCTCGGTGTTAGCTTGGTGTGCTGAAGATGCCCATTGTGCCGTCATGTTACTTGTAATCATCAAAATGCGCAACCAGCTGTGTCCTGTTCTGCGCAGAACGTGCTTCGGTAGTCATGGCTGTGGTTTGTGGTGCAAGGATGTGGGATCAGACGGCGAGGCTTGTACTACGGGAATGCGGGACCCTGAGAGTTGATCGCGTGGGTCGCCCGCGGTTGGACGGCTGCCGGGGACGCGAGACAGCGTATCCTTGACGTCACCCCGGCTCTTTTGTTCACAACACCAAGGCACGCTGATGCCGCCAGCTTATATTTGGTGCATGCGCGAGACTATTGGGGCCTGTAGACGGCATTTCCCATCCGAGTCGAGCAAGTCGCAGACTGCTTGATTGGTTCAAGTCAAGACATGGCACTTTGTACATGCACATTTGGTGCCTTTTTAGCATCGTGGTGGACCTCAGTTAGATAAGGCCCACTGGCGCAGTATGACTGACTTCCCATTGCGGCAGCACATCAAGGAAAGCCGGCTATGCTGTGGCTGAGCCAACCCAACCCTCTGCTTTCTTGCTTCCAAAAGCCAAGTCTTACTATCATCAAGTGGTTCACCCCCAATCCCCGACGTCACAAGCGTGATATCCTGAACCAAAACAATTTCTTTGGGTCAAGTTATAGATTCCAGGATGCAGTATAGGCCCACGATAGCCACTCTTTTTCTGATACACGAACAACTTGGGTCAGCATATCATATTACCGACTTGTACTCAACGACTTGAGCAAGCAGGCAGTAACTGTCCAAGCAAGCATTCAGAAGCTGCGCTTTCCCATGTTTCCTGGAGCGTCAAGCCTCACTGCCCCAGTTCCACAACTCCCTCTTAAATCAGTATCCATGGGGCATCTTCTTCGCAGCTTAACGTCTCCCAGAGTGCGAACATTTTATCGTGTGCGCCACCGTCTTGCCATTGTGTTGTTTATCATTGCGCTTCTTCACCAGCAATACCTTTACCTAATCAGCCGAGAATCTCTACGAGCGAAATACGTCCCGACCAAGTTCGACCTAACAGCGAAACGCGTCGCAACCAACTTCAACCTGCGCATCCACAATCGTCACACACGCTCATGGGGACCAGAAAATGAAGATCCGCAATTAATAGCCAATCTCTTGGAAAACCGCCAGCATTGGAGGCTTCTGGGAAACGGCTGGGAGGGACGTGTGTATGTCTACAAGGACTCCGTTATTAAGACTTTCGACACAGTACGAAGTCCTTTCCGAAACTGCGCTCCTGCCAGCTATCCAACCGATAGATGGCCGACAGAGATACCTGCGAGCCTCTACTTTGGAGGCTCTGCTTCGACTGCTGCTAACGAAACTGACGATACCGGAAATGCAAAGCCAAGATACGACGGCTTTCTTCCCATCAAGGCCCACTTCATAGCATCCAACTCCCCCGGAAGTCCAGAAGAATGGCACCTAGTCACACCCCTGGCAGAAGGCGGCAACCTTCTCACACTCGCCCAGAAGCTCTCCACCAACCCAAACGTCACATCCTACCGCACCATCGATGCCCTATATCGCCCCGCTTTCAACCGCTTCCTCTCCATCCTATCAACCATGCACAACGCAGGCTACTGCCACGATGATGTCAAGCCCTCCAACATCTTCATCCAAGGATCCTCGGACTGGCTCCTCGCCGACCTAGGCAACGTCCGCGAAGTAAATCATCCATACCACACATCTCGCATCTGGAGAGACAGCAAGCAAGTCGCTGACTGTCGCTCCAACGACGTTACGAGGGCACTGCGATCCTACCTCAAGTTTCTGCAAATGTCAATGCTCAATCAAGATGCCTTCAACGCTGCGCTGTTTCGAGGCGAAGAACCCATCAGCAGGCTCTTTTGGTGGACCATGGCCGACGCAGAGACTATGAGTGCCGACGAGTTGCGGCGTCGCTCGTTGGCTGAGGATCCGGAAGCCATGCCGGCGCCTGATACTCGGAATCGTGTCCATGTTCCTGCGCGCACATCTGCCCTGTTGAGGTGGGCGGCGAATCCGGGCTTGACGAGATTTGCGGTTAATTACTCGCTTTGGACTACCTTGACGGAAGCGAGAGCGAGGATTTGGGCCTTGGTTTGGTTGATTGATTTGCCTGGGATGCAGAGTTGTGAAGTTTGATACCCAAGTGTTGAGGATGGATGCATGGATGGATGTGTTTGTGTTGTGTACTAGTTTTCAAACATGCGACTTTGTTTTTTCTAGGACCCAATGCAAGTACGTACGACGTTTTTTTTTTTAAAAAAAAACGAGATTTTTGGATTCTGGGCTGTTACTGGAAGCGGTACCAATAATGACTTTAGTCCACTTTTCTGAAGACTCAACGTATTGTCGATGTCCAATTTACTGGGTTGAAACAGCGGATTATATTGCGCTGCTAGAAACGATTACAGCAATCCTCACTTGTCCCGTTGCATATTTACTATCTCCTGCCATGCCATGCTCAAGACTTCCCTCACTATATCCCAGCCCCATATATTGCTTCCAGCTTAAGCCTTAAACTCCTCCCTCTTCTTCTTCTCAGGCGCATCCAACACCTCCCTCTTCTCCGGCGCATCCACACAAGTGATAGCCCCAAACTCATTCTTCGTTGCCTCCCACCTATTTCCCCACTAGTTAGCCTTGATTCCCTCTTCCAGAAGAAACCCCACAAATTGCACTTACCAAACCGACTCAACATGCCCCCTCATACACCCAACACTCGTCGTAAACCTCCACACCATCTCGCCATCCTGCCCATTACAATACGGATAAGACGGATTGCACAGTCCGCCCCATCTGTTCAGATTGTCCCAGAGTCCGCCGCACCAGCCAGGGATGCCGTAGACGCCGCTGGCTCGGACTTCCCAATGGTACGCTGCGGCGCTGCCGTCGATGGTGCAGCTTGCAGCTGAAGCGGTGGTTGCGAGGGCAGCGAGGGAGAGTGAGAAGGGAGTGGAGAAGTGCATTTTTTTTTCTGGATTGATGAACGAAAGAGTTGATGGGTAGTAGACGCAACGATTTATAAAATGGTAGATGATTGTTGTGGGAGTAGGAAGGGTTGGAAGAACTGATGAAGTGATGGCATTGAACTGGGGACTTTTGAAAGGGATTTATAGGTACAATGACCGAGATAGATAGTATGAGGTTTGCATCTATTCTAGGTGAAGAAGAAGAAGAAGATAGTCCTGATTCATTTCTCTTTCTGGACAAAACAAGCGAAAGTCCTTTTTTTGGGGTCCCCTTCACGCACTTTGTCACTCATACTCCCCTCTCAGGCCCAACGCCGAGAATCTCCCAAGCAAACCCGTAGAGCGAATGATGAAAACACAGTACCACCGAGACCATCACCACCCTCTTCTTCCAACAACCCGAGCCGCCCAATCAAAGAAAAAAAAACAATATGTGGAGCCCATTAGGGGCGGAGACCTCAGGCAGCCCATGCAATCTCCCAAAGGTCCGATTTCCATCTGAGCATCTTGTATTCACAAAGGTAAAAGATCTACCCAGGCCTCCCGAATATCTTGTTGGGTGGGGGGAAATTTTGAGGCGGAGCTGGTGGGTTGGGACGCCTTTTGTCTTGGTATTTCCCCCCGGGGGGGGGGGGGGGGGGGGTGGAACGCCTTACCCGCAGCGGGAACAGGGAGTATGGGGGGTATTCGGTAGTACCATTCTTTTGGACCCCAAAGTGGCTCAGGATCTTGGAAAGTCTTGGGTTTTTAAGGCGGGCCGATGCAGTGGGCGAATCGCATTCGGGGGCGTTTTGGGTGCACGGTGAGATAGGCGGAAGGGTAGATCCGTGTTTTTGTGGGTAAGGGTGTATGCAGGGTCTTGGGGGGGTTTTTGTTGCTAAAGAAAGGTGATAGAGAGAGGTGCCAAGAGGAGAAGATGGGGAATTGATCTCCAGTCATATTGAGGGGTGGAGTTGGGTTACGGTGCGTGACTTGGTGGAAGCGTGGGGCGGGATGTTGAGTGCGCTGGGAGTTTCCGGATGGGGAGTTACTGAGCAACTTTTGTCTTTCGTATAGCTTGGTAGTTTGGAGGAGATTGTAGAGCACTGCCGTAAAGCCAAGGGATATACATCCCGTGTAGTTGATTGCATAGAGCGAGTGTGTGAGTTATTCGGATTCATGAGCAGCTCAATGATCTTGGCTATGTGTATATAAACCCAAGTTGCCATCAAGCAGATAGAATCATTAACACATCTCAACACAACCTCCTTCTTCATACCTTCTACCCATCAAAAACTAAACTCTCAATCTTTAATCAAACTATACAATTCAACTTCCCAACTTCACTCACAAAATGAAGTTTACCACCCTCGCCCTCACCACCCTTCTCCCTGCCACCGCCTTCTCCGCGACCTGCGGCTACGAAGGCGGCTGGGTCCACAAATGGCGCGTAACCGCTGACAATGTCTACGGTATCCCCGGCTGGTGCGGTGGCCTCTGGGACAACATGAAGAGCTTTCAGGGCGACTGCCCCATTTCCGATGCATGGTGCGGAGGCGAGAACGGGCTGCTTGAATGGAAGTTTACGACCCCGAGCACCTGCGGCCCCGGTGCGGTTGAGGCCGCGTGGTGGGAGGCGACGAAGAATGAGTTTGGAGCTATTGTTTGTGGGCTTTAGGAAATGGCGGGAATGTTGGAAGAGCATGAATGTGGGCAGAAGTAGAAATGTTGATTAAGAATTTGATGCTTGAATTACCACTACTGTAAATGTCCTACTCTGCTCCAACAGAAGTATCACTAAACTTCAACCTGTCCAACTGCGTCGCAAAGAATTTGGTAGTCTTTATCAGGTTCTTGACGGGTTCCGCAGCCGTAGCCTCATCAACGTCCTTGAATTTGTCGAGGATCAACGTACAGCGTGCCGTTACAAAGTTCCTAGCATTGTTACTGGCGTACTCCAGTAGGTCCGCTTGGTACTCTGCGAGAATCGCAGGGAAGTTTTTCCAGCCGGTAAAGTACTGGGCCATTTCTTTGGCTAAAGCAGTCATGTCGCTGGTGGTTTTGTCAAAGTAGCTGGCTAGGGATGCGTCGTTATAGTATGCGACTGTGCCAAAGACCTGTTTTTATGAGTCAGTCAAATGCATAAGTAAAGAAGATGATAAAAGGAGAAACACTTGCCCTTTGGATTCCAGTTAGTAAAAACGTAACCGATTTTTCCATTTCCTTGAGATCGGTTCCCTTGGCCACCTTGTTCAAATTTGAAGTGAATTTCCGCAGGGCAACAGGGTCCTGACCTCTCAGTAGATTACTCTTCATGGTGTTCATATCGCCAGGCAGATACGAAAGGCCATAGCGATAAGCATGAGATCCAATGACAGTAAAGAACCTCATGTTTGGAGTTTTCAGGTTATTCCAATCATTACCATACCCGTCGTCAGACCCGAAGCCTGTGACTCCGGTGACGAACTGCTGGCCTAGCGACGTAAGAGTAGCACCTGCTGGATACACTGAGTTCCAAGCATTGGCCACATCTCTTGCCGACATTTTTGCAGCCTTCATCGCTTTCTTGGAAACGAGCACGCCTGTTACAGCTACCTTGAGCAGATGCTCCATACTAGAGAGCTATGGATTATCAGTTCGTGTATCTCTACGTTTGGAAACGCGCTCAGTAAGAAATTTCTCAACTTGCCTCTCGCCAATGTTCCGTAGCCCACAAAATGGTCTTGCCGGAAATAGCAGTCAGTCCGGTTGGGATACTGCCCACCGTGTGGAATGCCACACCAAGGTTGGTGCAAACGGTGTCTGCCATCATGAAACCGCCTTTCATCGACAGTGTGTTCAATCCGCCTCCTTCAAAGAGCTTGGCACCAGAGGGGTACGGGGCACTTGTCAGAATCAGATTGATGCCTGCCTCGAGGACGACTGTTTTTTGATTAGCTGCACCTGGCGGACGTTTGTTGTCTGCGCGGCCTTCTAGGTAATCCCAGTCATCAGATAGGGATCGCTTTGCGAGAGAGTCGTCCAGTTCGGGAATTTCGCAGCCGCCGTCCTCGCAAAGATCACCATCGCATATCGAGACGTTGAGGGCATCCTCGTTTGGCTCGCAGCAGAGCGCTTTTGAACGCCACCCTGAAACGCAATTTCTTTATGTGAGCCTCCGACCAAAAACAATCCAAGTTTCGATAACATCATAAAAAACGTATCCAAAGTACGGGGCATACGTACAATTGCAAGAGTCTTCAGAATCTCCGTATGAATCGGTTGCCAGAGTGATTTGATTCCGTTCACATGTATTTTTCGCGCAGTCACCACTGCCAATCCAACTGCATTTGTCTGAAGCTCAGCGTCAGCATACATCTTGTAACCAGTTATCATGTGAGTGCTCACCAAATGCCTTTTTAGTTTTCTTGCAGCAGTAGTTCTGACCACCACTAGAAGCCCTTGATTGCAAACTGAAAAGCTCGTCACCTCGACGCTTCAGCGGCGGCAGTTCTACAACGCATGCATTGTTGTTGATGCTGAATGCGTGGGCCACGCTTTCTTCATCGGCCGCACATCTCTTGTTGTCACTACACGGAGTTGTTATTTTCGTCTTGAAGGTAGTTTGCAAAGAATCCTCACCATCCTTCTGTCCAGTAGCAACCGTGCGTGACAGGCTCAGTGTCCACAGTGCAACAGAGGGCCTTGCCTCCTCGACTACACCTACCAGTATGGCCCTCACCTGGATAACCGCCCCATGAAGAACCACCGATTTTAACTTCATTGGGATGGCACTGGCCATTGCAGTCTCCACCGCTTCCACGCCACATGCACTTGTCCTTCATGCGTGCCGATGTAGGACAGCACATTGGCCATCCACACTGCCAGTCTTTATGATTCTGTAATGGAGGTGTTGGTAGAACATCTAATTTCTCACGTTCAGGATCAACTCACCTTGTCGCCTTTGCAGCCATGCGTATCATACGCTACCAATTCCATATCCTTACCACAGTCGTAGCTCTTGACATCGCTAACAACAGTTTCATTGAACTTACAACCCTGGCCCAGGAAGGAGTTTGCTGTCTCCGTGTAATCATCCTTGAGATTAAAATCGGAGAGCTGTTTTCGTGATCCAATTTTCTGGTTGCCGGTAAATGCTTTGTGTGCAGTGTTGTCATAATCGTCGAGATCAGATGCCCAAATCAGTGACCCTGAGAAGCCAACACTATTAGCCCAGTCTCTCTTCTGCTTAAAAGTGTCTGCGTCGTCGAACGAGATCCACTGATTGTTATCCCAGTGAAGATACTTGACAGCTGCTTTTTCGTCGTGTACAATTGTTAGATCTCGCTTGTTATTCTTGTTCAAGATGTCTTGAATCTCATAGTGTGCAAGGTAGCCGCTGGTTGCAGTGCAAGCACCTTTCTTTGCACCACCCTGTGGGATTTCATTGTCAGCATATTTTATTGAGTAAATTGCGCATTGCTAGCTCTGAACTCACACTAAAGGGACACCCGGGCGTGGTACAGCTTGGGTCTGAAAGCGTGAATGCTCGGCCGTAAAAGCCAAAGCCTAGTGCGACTTGTGACGGGGGAATATCGACACGCCAGAAGAGCTCTGCAGCCAGCTTTATTTCTGTCAAGTTCGTATGTGCCTGGACGATTGCACCACTTTATGTGCTATCAGTAATTTGAAATGTTTTTAAAACAGTGAAGGTTACTGACATCGGATTGCTACTATCCCAGACACCATGCAGATCGTAGCTCATCTATTGAGAAGGTCAGCTCAACTGTTTCTGCCGTTGCTCATCGATACATACCAAATTTACCCAGTCAGCATACTTCATCATGCCGGGAAGATCGAACCATCGGAGGTACCAGAATGAAGATGGCGCAGTAAATGTAAGGCCTAGGTTTTGGCCTGAGTTATCAAAGGTGGATTTCAATGTCTTGAGAAGTTCAACGTAGTTCTTAGTGTCGTCCTCCTTACCACCGCGATCAGGTGCACCAGGATATTCCCTTGTTACTGTTAGAGTGATGAGGGAAGAGAACACTTTTCTTTACACTCACCAATCAAGATCAACTCCATCAAACCCATATCCGGTCATGAATTTGAGCAGGTTGTTGGCAAACTTTTGTCGGTTGTCTGAGGTGCGAGCAATGTTTCCAAATACGGGTTGCGTGGCTGTGCCGTTGTCTGAAAAGGTCCACCCGCCAATACTAACAAAGACTTTGAGATCCGGCTTCAGGTCCTTCAGTGCCACTACGTCTTCAAACGTGCTTACTGGAGTCTGAGCGTCCATGGTTGTAATCTCAAAGCTGCTTGGATCGATGTAGGCAAAGGCATAGTTGACATGTGTAAGAGCATCGACTATGTGAATAGTGTAAGTATGGAACAGGATGAATCGTCCCGGCAAAACTCACGAGGAAGATCCGACGCTTGAGTGTTGTGACAAGCTGATCTAGCATTCCAAGCTTCCCAGTACCCAATTACTGAAGCAGTCAGTTTGCACGAACATATATCTTCAGGTCACCATGCCCACTTACCGCGATCGTCCACCTTGCCTCCCCCACCGGAAGGCTTTGGATGTTCGACGCAATTAGACTGGCAGTTCTTCCCACAAAAGTCTGCTCATACTATCAGCAACCAAACGCGTATATCAGAAGTTGATTCCGTACCTGCTGTGGTGCCACAGAATCCAAATTCTGAGCAGCTGTTCGACTGTTAGCAGTCTGGCTCTGAACTTCATGGGTCTTCAAAAATAGCAAAGGCAACCCACCATGTATTCAACGGACATGTCTTGCCAGGGACTTTAGAAAATTTTCCACACTCGGCGGTTGCGTCACAGTTGCTGGAACAGCCTGTACCGCAGTAGGTTGGCCCGTATCCGCAGTTACCGCTTTCTATTAGAGCAAATCAATCCACCAAACTTCAAGAATATGTCGGGTCAAATGATGAAGTCACTTACCTCCACAGCAAGCTCCATTCTTGCAAGGCCCTACACACTGGGTTAAAAAAGTGCACTATGCTACTGCAGCATGAGAAAAGTACTGACTTCCAGGAGCACAAGTGTAGTCATCTCGTCGAGACAACGCTACAAATGTTGTTGTACCATTGTCGAGCAGGTAATCTTCACTCTGAACTGAATTTCTGGGGCGTTGAAATGGGGAGTGATGACTACGTCGCGAGCCATGAACGAGGTCCACTGAGCCCAAAGTAAGGAGAGATAAGAGTATGATATGTTGAAGCATGATTAAGGGCCCTGATCTCCTCAAACATAAACGAGCTTCCTGGAAGTGCAAGCAATTATAAGGAAAACCCAACTTTGAGCTTGACATCCCTGACCCGAATCTTGCTTCAAGTACAAGCAAAGGTGGACCACTTGACCGCCAGTACTTCGACATGTAAACCCTGGTCTTCTATCCCAACCAAACTGACCACCCCACCCCCTTCTGAAGTCTCCCGCGGATAAATATAAAAGCCTTGGTAGTGATCAAACGGGACAATTGCGTGCGGAACAGAACGCCACACCATCTAACCACCCTCGAAAAAACCTAGGCCGTCACGACCCCACCTACCTGCAACTTCCAATAACAGTAATTGCTATCTAACTGCCCAATATTCGGGCAAACTGTTGAAGTGAACCATGCTTCGTGTGGACAAATTTCAACGGGGCGAAAGCACACCATCACAAGACGATCTTGCCCCTGAATTAGTCTTCATACAGCTCCATGGTGCGAGGGTGTCTAGAGAAGTTCTTCTGAGAATTTAAAAAAAGCCCTCGCTTAACTTCCAAATGTTCAATTCTAGCCAGGTGATAATCAACTACTATAGATGACCAATGTGTGAACGGGTTCAATGGACGAACTGCGTTTGACTTGCAAACCTTTAATTCTCAAATTACTTATATTTTCTTTTCCTAATGACGCCTATTTTAAGATTTTACTGCGACACAAGTTCTGAACAACTGTTTTACGCTTCTAAGCCTACTCTTTCCATAGTTGATACTGGTAGTAAAGGGTAGTTCACCGGCCGAACGTGTGCACGCACCAGCCATTTACAGGACGCCTTGCAGAATAAGCAGGGAATTTCGGAATGGCACATGCATGCAAGTTACCCTAGAATATCACTCTACTTAGTAGAATGCACATTGTGATGGTGATATGGGGTGGCTGCTATCCTGGTCCGGAAATAATGCGAGTACTCCGCGACAGATGCGTACAAATGTGCGCAATGGTGGTTTGTTCCGTCTAACAGGTCATATGAAAGTGGCTACGTTAACTTTCGAAGCAAAGTGCTCACACATATGTAAGCAGTACAACCGCATTTGCATGATCAGTGTTCAGTTATAAGTTAGCTAATAACTATTATTCCCACGTTAAATTACTTGTTCGGGATGCATCTGGCGACTTTTTAAGTTTACCGAGCAGCATTATCCAGTTCTGACCGCATCGTCCGAGATGGTGGGAATTAAATTTGTATAGTGTGGTATCGTGACTGACACTGGTCATGCCAACCGCTTCGGCCCGTACCTGCTGTAGTATTGCCTTATGCAGGGCGTAAACGCACGAGCGTTATAGTTTTACGGCACATGAGCAAGCTTTTATAGTGGCCCTCGGCAGGAAAGCAAGCTTCTCTACTATGGCTTCCGCGGACAATTTAACCGGACGAATCTTGTGAGTTACTAAAATGAATACCGAAGCTCTGGATCGCCGTCCGGGGTCCACAGTCTGCAATATCATTGGAACAAACAGCAACCCATGAGTGCTGAAGCGACTCTATCTTCGTGCAGACTGAAGGGGTTGGCCTCGTTGCAGGGGCTTACTAGGATTAGTGGTGTGATTTTTGAATTGCTTGGGCGTCACATTGCCTGGTCATGCAGCGCGTAAGCCCGTTCCAATAACGATCTGTGGCCTGCAGAGTATCATTGATTAAGGAATGTACCTGCGTTCTCATTCCCGCATCTGATGCCATGCATAAGGCAGCCCACACGTTATCGAGCAACGGTAGAAAGGAAGTGTGGTGTAGACGATGTCAATTCATGGTCAAGTGTAGACCATGAGACAAAAGGATTCTTGATATCTTTCTCGGAATGTCTCTTGGTCTCGCGACTGCTACAAGCTCAACAAAAAACTCACTTCACAACAGCCCTGAAAGGCTGTCAGAAAAACTATCATGAAGTTTCTTCTTTCAGCAGTCCTTCTTCTCTGGCGATCAAACTTTCCTGCCTTCGCACAGCAGATATCAGGAGCTTTGCTTCCTCTTGACCTTCTCGACTTGAGTGATGGCTGCCTTGCTGTTGTGAACAGCACTATCACCTCGTGTCCTAGATGGCTCCCAAAACATGCAGGAACAGGGTATGATATACTCCACAATACAGTGTAAAGAACTACTGACGAAAAGTTTTTCTGCCAGAGATGCAAGCTTTGATTTGCTAAGTGACAAGCTCCTTGGGGAGCTTTGCAGTGGAAGTTGCGCTCAAAGCCTGACCTCAGCAAGAAAAGCCATCCAAGCGGCCTGCACATCTTCCAAAGATGTAATGAGTCCAGGTGGTGGTGTGGCATACCCAGGTATGAGAAAACCACTTCTGATTCATATTGCTCATGCTAACATGGTCAAAGCGACATTTCTTGCCGACAGGTATCTATACGCGATACAATTGAGCTGCCTCAAATCGTAAGTGTATCCATGGATAATATGAATCCATGTTCAATGCTAACTTGTAGCCCGTGAATGACAGATCGAGTGGCCAGTATTGTGATACAATGGTCGCATCATGGATGAACCAAAGCAGCAGCGCAAACTGGACAGTGGCCCAGAACTGCTCGGACTGCGAACTTGGGGTTCAGAAGCTGCAGCTTGCTTCGCCCTTTGGTTATGACGATGATGGTGCCGCTACGTTCGCCTCTCTGACTTCTAGCTGCAATGCAGGAGGCTACGCTTACGCAACACCCGCTCCTTACGCCATCAACGCAACAGCACCTGCACCTCCACCGGCTCGTACTTGCTCTGGCATCTATACGGTCCAGGAGGGGGATACATGTATGTCCATTTCTGTGAAGGCAAACGTGTCGACGTACGGCTTAATATCGGCAAACGGATTTGATGTCAGCTGCAATCTTTTGCCGCCTGTGGGATCCACGATATGTCTTCCAAAGAAGTGCAACACATATCAGCTGAGCTTTTACGACAGGTGCGATGATGTAACAGCTGGTTATCATATAACCCGCCAGCAGCTTCTTTCGTGGAATCCGATGATCAATGACTTTTGCAACAACCTTGCCAGTTGGTATGGGTGGAATTTGTGTATCAGGTGAGATATTTCCCATAACGCCTTTGTCCGTAGGAGACAGTGAAGTTGTTAACACCACAACAGTTCACCAGAAGGGCTCGTTCAGGCCGGTCAAAGCAACACAATCGACACAGTAGCGCCTGTTCCATCAGATGCGCAAAGCCAGTCCAACAGACGCTGTGGACAATGGTACCTAACGAAGAAAGATGACCTATGCGGCAGTATCTCGCTAGCCTTTGGCATCTCTTTGGACGATTTCTATTTTCTCAACCCTCAAGTCGATAACAAATGCTCCAACTTGTGGTTGAATACATCGTATTGCGTCCGACCGGTCGGCAACGTAGCCACGTACTCTGGCTATCCAACACCAACGCCAGGCACCGTCTTCCCTAAACCAACGCCAACACCGACATCTGCACCCCCACCAATCGTAACGGACCCTCTGTGGTCAACAGCAGCAGGCACTGTGGACAACTGTGAGATCTACCTTAATGCATTCTCTGAATCACTTTCAAGTGTATTGGGCATTGCTGAAATCAACGCGTGTAACATTTGGGCTGCACAAGCTGGTGTCACAGTAGAGGATCTGATAGCGTGGAACCCAAGCCTTTCTGCAGACCACTGCGTGTTGCAAGAAGGCAAAAGCTACTGTATCCTGAAATGTAAGTCCCTCAACAATAGTCTCGTGATGCTGCTGGAACATTTCTCTGCATGTTCAGTTTGCTAATTCTTTTTACAACATTAAGCAAGTTCAGCTACTCAATCGAGCAACACGATTCCTGCGTCTACCGGCTCGACACCCACGACTTCGCAACCGCCTACAAGCACCGGCGGAGGCATACCCCCACCAGCTCAGACCCAGGCCGGTGCAAATCCATCGTGTAAGAAATGGTACGTTGTTGTCTCGGGTGACGGCTGTTGGGCAATTGCGAACACAGCAGGTATCACGCTTGACGACTTCTACAAATGGAATCCGGGCGTCGGAGAATGTGCCAACTTGTGGCCAGACTATGCTGTTTGTATAGGGGTTTGATCGGATTGTGCGTGCCACTGATCTCATCTATGAATTGCTCCAGTAATTAGCTCGTAATTATAAGGTGCTCACACTATCAACTTGCACAGTATTGACATGCAAGTGCGGGTCCGCAAACAAGGGACCCTTGGTTGCCTAGGCTTTATCGAATATGGCCAAGCGTGATCTGCTTTTGTGCCTTGCAGCACACGCGCTTATTATGTATATTAAGAGCTGTTAGTCGTCGCCACATCAAGGCTTATGCTGCGAATGCTAACGCGGCGTTTGTGTATTCAATAAGGTCTGCAACGCCTCCCACGCATCAATCGTCCAATTTTTCTTCTTCTCTCGCGTGTCCGGTGTCAAAGTCGAGGTCTTCTCAACTTCAAGATTAAGTTTCACACATCTCCTGTGGGGTACCCACACACCATGTCAGCAGACGACTCTCTCTCGACTGCTGAAGTCCTCAGACGATTGAAGGAGGAGATGGCACAACAAGCGCCTAGGGACCACAAGGAACACCATGCCATTGAAACCAGTCTCTCAAACCCATACTTACAATCAGACACCAAATGGGGTTTCGTCATTGTCCGTGCATCCTATGGTCCGTCCAGCGATACGCTATGGGCCCAATTTCTCGATCTCTTTCGCGCCAATGTCGAGGAGACCTTGCGACTTGAAGATGAGCTAGATTTACTTCCACGTCACGAGATGACGATTATTGAGAATGAAGCAGCACTTGGCGGCGCAGACTCGTACGCCGCACGCCGCGCATTCCGCGCCTGGGTAGCCAATGACTTGCCCCAGCGGCTCCGCGGCTCGTGCCTGGAAGAGCTGGGCGGACTTGCGCAGGTTCGTGAGAAATTACTCAGTAACGATGCACATAGTGCACCCGGCACAACACACCCCGCGAGTCTCGTGCCGCCTCGATGGAAATACTGCATCTTCGTGGATCAAGATTGCTTGCGCTCGGTGGAGAAAGGGCCCGAGGAACCCGAGTTGAAAGACCCGGCATTGAAGATTCTGACTACGGAATGGGAGCGAGAAGAAGCAGAGGTTCCCACTGAGGAATTTACGAGGGACTGGGATGGCGGCGAGACGAACGATGATGCTGAAGAAGTTGGGTGGATGTACATGGACATGACGGATTACGTTACCGTGTATGATCGTTTGACTGATGCGTTCGCTTGGCAAGAGTATTACCAGCGGCCTTACAAAAGCTACGTGGAAAATTCGGAATCGGAATCGGACTGAATCTGATTTTGTAGGTTCTCTACGCCATTCGATGTAGTACATGTTATGATTACTATCTTGCAACAGTGCAGGCTATGGATGAGGAATTGCGGACATCAGCGCACAGTAGAAACTGACTTATGCAACGACATTTCCTATCATAACTGAGTCAATACAGTCCATGGCAGGGTGGTCTTTAGTCAACGCGCTAGCTGGACTGGTGTATGTAATGCCATAAGGCGAATGGCGATGGAATGCAACGAGAAACTAGATGTGTACATGATCTACATATGGAGACAAAGGTGCAAAATGTAATGAAAACTATTGCTGTTATCTGTAAAGAAAAGAAAGGCGCAACTCCTGTGCCCTTTGATGCTCCCACACCTCTTGATCAATTGTCCCCATTTGTCCCGATTATAGTAGTATAGAGCATAGGCGGCATTTGAGCTCTTACCGTGCTCGTTGACACGACGCTTTATGAAATTTAGATTCTTAATAACATTTAAGATATTGTAATAGTAATGATGGTGGACTACGAATGCTAGCAGAGGCAAAGTGCAGAACAGGGAGCTGACTCAGCCCCGACGTGGTTGAAGCACAGACTGACGTCGTGCACTGGACTTTTTTTTGGTCGTTTCACAAGCGCTGGACCGCTTTGCAGCAAATTCCCCTTTTTTCACAACCACCAAAGTCTCTGTACTTTTGCCGAGTCTTTTGCGGAGGACTTTGTATGTATGTACGAATGAAGATAATAGAACAAGTTTTAGTATCTCGTCCATTGCGCCCGATCGCTCTTGCTCGCCTCGTTCCCTCGCGCTTGTCCCTAGTAACTCATACAAAACTCGGCTGCTTTTCAACAGCCCCCCTTAGCTTCTACAACAGACATCACACTCAAACCGCACAACTATCAACGATGCCTCCACCACCAAAGCGCAAGTGGCCTCGTGGCAGAGGAGGAGGCGGCGGCGGCGGTGGCGGAGATCGTACAAATGGGGGTGCAGCAACACCCGGGACATCTACGCCTCGCTCGACAATGGCGCAACAGCCCAAGCGCCCGAAGGTGGAAAACACGCAGCCAAATGCCGATACGAGCGTCGATGTGCGACAAATGTACAGCACGGCGGCAGGCGATGCGGCACCGAAGCCGTTTTCCGAGTTAAAGGATAGGCTACACCCAGGATTGCTTGACGGCTTGGACAAGATGGGATTCCAGTAAGCAGGAGACGTGACGAGGCGGGAGATTGCTCCTCAGTTTGCAAGGTTGGGGTTGGAGGCTCAGCTAACGACGACAGGTACATGTCTCCAGTTCAGCAAAAGGTTCTAACAGAGCTTCCCTCACTATCATCCGATTGCGTTGTGCAGGCAAAGACGGGTACAGGCAAGACGGTGGCTTTCCTACTTCCGGCGATTCAGAACCTCCTAGCAGGCAACATGCCCCCAAGAGGCAAGGTCGCTATCCTCGTCATCTGCCCCACGCGCGAGCTGGCTCTGCAGATTGCCAAGGAGTGTAACGGTGTGACGGCGTGTCTGCCGCAGAGGATGGAGTGTCACACTGCGTTTGGCGGTACTTCGCGTGCATCGAATCTCAAGGCTTTTATGAGCGGCAACCCAACTATTCTGGTAGCAACACCCGGAAGACTGGACGATATTCTGGGTGAAGAGGAAGTTCGCGACAAGTTTTCGCACTTGAAGACGGTGGTGCTGGATGAGGCAGATCAGATGCTGGATGCTGGCTTTGCACCTGCAGTCAAGAAGATCCTGAGACGCATCCCGCCAAAGAATGACGGGTGGCAGGGTATGTGCTTTTCTGCAACGCTGCCCAAGGAAGTGCTCGATATTGCAAAGATTGTCTTGTTCCCCGGCTACACACATCTTTCGACGGTGGATCCCAATGAAGTGCCCACGCACGAGCGGGTACCGCAGTTTTACATTACTGTCCCTACCGTCGGGCAAACGTTTCCTGCACTGTCTGCATTGATCGAAGAGGAATACAATCAGAACCCTACCGACTTCAAAGCTATTGTGTTTGGCACGACGGCAAACGGCGTGGGCCTGCTCTACGATCTGTACCGCAACGCACTACCGCAGTTCCGGCTGTTCGAGCTGCACAGCCGCATGTCGCAGCCCGCTCGAACCAAGACGACCAAGGAGTTCAAGGAGGCGTCGAGCGGTATACTGTTTGCATCTGACGTGGTTGGGCGCGGCATGGACTTTCCCAACGTTGGGCTCGTCATTCAAGTGGGGCTTCCTTCGAGCACCGAACAATACGTCCACCGCGTGGGTCGCACGGCGCGTGCAGGCAAGGACGGCCGTGCGGTCATCATCCTATTCGAGCAAGAATCCTTCTTCCCACGCGTCAACAAGACGCTGCCCATCCAGGCCTACCCCGTCGACATTGTGTCGCGACTAGCTGCTCACCAAGTGCAGATTGAGCGTGCCTTTGTCGACGTCGACGAGGTATCCAAGGCCAAGGCGTACCAGGCTTTTCTAGGCTACAACAAGACGTTTGTCAAGAAGCTGCAGCTTTCGACGGCTGAGCTGGTCAAGCTGGCGAATGAGTATGCGTACACGATGGGGTGTCCCGAGCCGCCGATGCTGGAGAAGTCGACGGTGGGAAAGATGGGGTTGAAGGGCGTGCCTGGGTTACGGATCGGGTCACGCAAGTAAATGCAATTGGAAAAAAAAGAGATGATATCATGGAAGTTAAAAAAAATAGGGTTTTTTTTAGACATGTTTTTTTTTCCTTGTTCACATTCGGTATAATAGAATTGGGGCGGGCAACGATGGCTCTTTTGACACTCAGCGTCATCACGATTTGGGGGGGAGGAGGAATCTCAAAATCACAAAATTCTGTAGCAAGGCCCAACAAAAGGGGTTTTTAAAGATGAAATGACAAGTTTTTAACTCGGATATACATATACCCATTAGAAAAAGAGAGAGAGAGAGAAAAATCCAATGTTTCTTTACCTTTTTTTTTCTTTCCTAGGTAATGTGTAGACAAAGGTAAAAAAAAAACCCAGTCAGTTGGTGACCGCTATTAAACGGGTTCACCGTTGATAAAGAGGTCTAGACCAGGGCGGTTTTGTGGTGACTCACTTGGGGAAATAGGCTGACTCGTTTTTACCTTGTTCTTCTTCTTCTTCTTTCCGATTTGCTGCCTCACCAAAAAAAAGGGGGGGGTGGTGAGCACGACTTTGTCAGGACTTTTGGAAAATCAAAGAAAATCAAAAAAAAATCGAGTGATGCAAGATGAGTATGGGTGGAGAGAAGTGTGGAGTGGGGAAAATACAGGAATCTGTGTAGGTATCATGCTTGTTATATTTTTTAAGGTTTATCTTTGCTGCAAGGTTAGAGGAAGAGAGGGAAACAAAAATAAAGGGATGATGCTTGTTTTGAGTGACAGTGTGACACGTCTTAGTTTTGCCAAAGAAGTTTGACAACACAGGGGGGGAGAGAGATAGAGAGAAAAGGTGTCAAAAGGCCGGGATAAACGTGGTAAGTAGAAGAGTTTTTGGCCGATTGTAATCGGGGATCGAAAGAGGCCCGTACGTATACGGTGGATCAAGTACATACACACTTACGGGACGGGTAAGGGAGCGAGTCAGTTTTGGGGATGAAAAAAAAAGAATGACGTCGTTGGTTTTAGAATTAGGGCTCGGTGGTATGAGTTATGTTAGCACTAGTGCCAAAGAAAAACAAAATGAAGAATAAAATCACCAGTTGGGTAATCGGGGTATGAACAATTTGCGCTGGATGCAGATGGGGTTGTTGCGCAGAGAGTGGACAAAGAGAGGGTGATCAGCAATGATGCGCCGGTCGCGGGGCCCACAGTCTGGCAAATCATCGGAGAGAGGTCGGGCGGGTGTGCGGACGGCGGGCAGAGCGGGCGGTGGATCGTGATTTGTGTTTGCTGGAAAGGGCAAGAGAGGGAAGCTGGTCTCTCTCGCTTAAGGGGATATTAAAAGAACCACCGACGTTTTTTGACAACTGGCTAGCGTCGGGCTTGGAAGAAAATCAAGGCAGACTGACGAGCAAGGGTACATGGAGTTTTCAAAGCCCGAAAGGAAGGGACGCAAAGATTACGGCCAGGTTTTCAACATGGGAAAGACAATGATAGCTACTATGATAAAAGATAGGCGGAACCCGGATAATGGGAACAATGGCGAGCTGCAGAGACGGCAGTTGAGTGGGGTGCATTCACTGGCGCGCGGAGATAGTTGGCAGTAGTCGACCCAAAGTCGGGCAGTTGCATGAAAAGACGGAATACAACGGAGCGAGAGCGGGGGGAGACTAAGGACAAGCAGATTAGCCAGTTGAGGATGAGATTGGCAGCATTGCGCGATGGGAAGCGACAAAGGGAGCATGGTCGTCGACGTTGGGCGCATGGCATGCCGCTTTGTGTGCGTGTTTGCGATTGCCGTGCTGTGTGGAGAGGGGTGCGGGCGGTGTTGTAGCGATCGAAATGAGACGAGCATCATGGGCAAAGAAGCGTCTGGACCGGGCGGGTTGATGGGCAGACAGGCAGGAGTGTCGTGGGCCCGTTCTGGCAGTGCAGGGTTAGGGATAGGGCAGCGCGGGCTTGTGCGGTGGCTGCCTGGGGTGGGCGAGCTGAGGGGGGCGCTATGAGCCAGGGCCGGTGTTGTCGAGTTTCATGCGCCCCTAGCGGCTGGATCGGAACCTGGCTCAGCGAGGACGAGGATAGGCTGCCAACAGTGTGCCGGGTGCTGGTTTACTAGTATTTACTTGCACGTCTGCCGGCCGCATCGACGTCTGTTTCACGGGGCGCGTCCACTCTGTCGAGGCGCCTGTTTCCGGCGGGCGCAGGGGCGTGGCGGCGACTGGCCAGAGGGGCTCTGGTTCAGTGGCAGCGGCGCATAAGGGGCGTGTGGCCCAGCGGCCGACAGAGGGAAGATTGGGTGTTTATGCGGGCGTGGATGGCGGACAGCTGGCGAGCGTCAAGTGCCGGCACGAGCATGGTGCTGGAGGATGGGCGAGGATGAGGTCGACGGGGGGCATGACGTGGGCCGGATGCAAGAGAAGGCAAACGCGTGCTTGGGGCCGCTGATTGGCTCGCGGCCCTTGCACG